TATGAGCTCTATAAACCACAACTTGGTTGAAAACGAAGGGCGACTGCGACAGACTTTTGAACTGTCGGAAGCCAAAACTGGCGAGTCATTTTTGAATGGCCGGCTTGGAGTAAAGGTAGCATATGCACTGCACCAGATTGTGAAGTGGTGGTAAAGCACAGAAGGCGACTGCGACAGACTTTTGAGCTGTCGGAAGCTAAATTTAGCGAGTCATTTTTACATGACCGGCTTGAAGTGACAGACACCATTTTTTGTTATTTCTTTATAAAATCTTATTAAATCAAAACTAACCCATTTTTATTATTTTTATTCTGAGCGTTTCAATGAAAAAGTTTTTACAATAAAACTAGAATATAACAGCAGAAGCCACAGCAAAGGGCCTGTTGATTAGATCATACCATCATGGAATGCGACAAATGATATGCTTTAACACTAACTGCACTTTTTTACATCACCAAATATAAAAAGACGAGATAGCAGACGAAATATATGATGCTATCAAAGAGGGAGGGAGTACGCGGATCCTAGGCCATTTAATGCGAGTCTCAGCATCTATTTCAGACTTTTTATAAACTTCTACACCTAATTTATTTTTATTACTATTGCTATCTACGAGATTCTCACCCCACACTAGATTTCCAAAATAAATTTTCCCACACATATCTACAGAATTTTCGTCTATATCACTCTCACCCGCACAGACTATATAAAAGATTACATTCCCGTGCAAAAAGTTTAGGACCACACGATAAATTGTAAAACAAATGGTTTTTCTAAATAACTAACATTTTATTAAGCTATAAAAAGTTATTTTTTTAATATTATTTGTAAGTAACAAATAAAACATTAGAAATTTAATAAGCATCATTTTGCTGATCATTATTAATTATATTTAAGGCACGTGACTTTTCGTGAATAAAAAAAATAATTCGTATAATTATATTTATTTAAATCATAATTATTAAAAAGCATTTAATTTATGCAACAAAAAAAAAGGAACCCGAAAACCCATACAATTGATAGAATTAATATATACTAAAGTTTCTTTAGTAAAAAAGGAATAATTTTCAATAAAAAAATGAAAAAAAAATTATTTCTTGATATTTACTTTTATAAAATGTGATAAAAGTATTTATTAATATCTTGTGGGATAGCTGCGGGCTTTTATCACTGCTTCTACTCGACGATTCATGCTTTCAACAAGATTTTGGTAAATTTCATCTGAAATCTCTAACCAACATTGTTGAAGAAGTTCTTCTAATTCCCTCACATTCCTTGGATTTTTTTGCTTTAATCGGATTCGACGCTTAAGCTCATCTCATAACTGCTTTATGGAATTAAGATCGGGACTTTGTCCTGGCTAAGGTAACCAAGTTATATCCATTTCTTCAATAAAGTTTCATGTTCATTCACTTGTGTGAATTGGTGCATTATCTTGTTGAAACAAATATTCTCCATTTTGTTCTTCAAATTCCTCTAAAAATGTGACTAAATGGTAGCCAAGGATCTCTTGAATATATCTTTCACTATTTATCTGACCATCAACCCTTATCAAAGGACCTAACCCATATCAGGAAAAGCACCCCCACATCATAACTCCTCTACCATCATGTTTTACAGTTGAAAATAAGCAAATAATATTGTATTTTTCTTTAGAAAGCCTCCAAACTCGAATTTTTCCATCATTCTGAAATAGAGTAAATCTAGACTCGTTACTTTACACAACTTTTTTCCAGTTATTTATAGTCTATAGATGCCTTTCACAAGCCTAATTTAAACAAATTTTTCGGTTATTCTCACTTACATTAGGTTTTCTAAGGGCTATACGACTGTTATATCCCATTTCATATAATGTTTTTTTCATAATTCGCTTACATATTACATTTCCAGTAGACTCGATAAAAATTTCTTTTATTTTTTCAACGGATTCACGTCAGTTTTTAACAATAATAGTCTTAAGATGACGCTGTCTCGTTCAATTACTTTTTTAGGACGTCCACTTCTATTAGCAACAGAAATAGCACTCTTCTCACAGTATTTTGTTATTATATTATATACCGTCATTTTGCTATAACCTGTTTTTTTTGAAATAGCCCTTTCAGAGTTACCAGCTTCATAAAAGCCAATAACTTTATTACGTTCAAAATCTGTTAGTTTTTTTCTTTTAACCATTTTATGGAAATAACAGAGAAATAAATATAAGAAAAAAAAATTTTTTGTGTGATGATCATCATTAAACAATATGTTATAAATAGTTTATTTTATTACACAAATAAATAAATATTTTCCAATTTATATATTGCTATTGTAAATCTTAGAGGTAGTCCTAAACTTTTTGCATAAGAGTGTATTTCCCGCAAGAAAACTTCTCTGAGATTAAGTAATTTTGAATCCACAAGCATAAATTCGTAAGATTAGCAACTGATATAAAAAAAAAATATTTCTGATTCACATTTACCGTTACTATTAATTTTTGTAACATTCCATTTCGCCTAAAATTTATTACTTAATGCGATTTTTTTATTGCCAGTACAATATTGCACTAAATACTAAGAATTTGACATATGAAAATTTATTAAACACACTGGGCCAAATTTTGTTGATATTAAGACATGTGATGAGATTCATGTAAATAGTTTTACTGCATATATTGTACGTGTGATTGTCAAAGATTTTCTCAGCAAAGATCAGAATGCCGATAAATAGCAAGAAGAGTAATATATCCATTTTATTTTAGAACATCTATAGAGACAGAAAAATCGATTAACATCGTGATGACATGTCTCAAGAAGCTAACCAAGCAATAAAAATCAATATACCTTATTATTGTTTTGTGAAATATAGGAGTTTGTTTAATCAAGGATATTATAATGATGTAAATAATGGTATGTTAGATTGGTTTTGATTTTTTCGTTTTACTTGCACAAGGTGAATCAAAGGATTCACTAATCAGATCATTACCTTTTTATATAATTCACAGAATTGATTTTATTAAATGCTTTTGGAGAAATTACGTTAATATGATCACATCACGAAAATCTGATCAACAGACTCTCCTTAATTTAACAATAAAAGAATTTAATGCTACCTATATGTAAAGATCATTAAGGGTCCTTTTACAATAATATACGTAATAATTTTAAAAATATGTGAGAAAGTTTGAGAATAAAATTTCTAAATCTTTGCTGGCAATCTTATTTGCCGATCCAAATTTCCTAAATTACCCTGTATTAACATGCGAGTAATAAAAATTAGCACTGTATGTACATTGAATCATCACGAGAAAAAATATTTGACTACATTACTCAGGTTACTTAGTGGCCTAAACGTCTTTTATTTGCAATACATTAAGCTAAAAAAATTACATGATGCGAGACTAGCCCTGAGTATATAATACTATTCTATAACTTTAGACTATTTATTATACATGATTATTTTTTCGAACGATATTCATCTATTCTAGCTTAAGGCAAAAGAGACGTATTCACAATACATGCTATGTCATATAATAATTGTGAAGACTCTTCATACTTCTAACTAATAGAAGCAGGATCTACTGGTTAATCATATGATAAACTTTAATTTCAATGATAACTTAGAAAAATCTTGATAAGAATTTTCCTAATATCAACTGCACATCTGATTCCAGTTTCTTTTGCATAAGCAATCCATGTGGTTTGAAAAAAAAAGAAATATATGAATATTTTTTCTTCTAGTCTAAACCATAATCACAAACTTGAATTTATTGCTTAAAGTGTTGCAGGTAAGACAATATTTTAACTTATCTTGGGATAGCAACTTCGCTAATTCAGGATCATAAGGGAACTGATTCCTATTTTTGTGGTACTATGAGCTATGTAATCTGTAATTCTCATATTTTCCATTGCAAATAAGGCATGATGAGCTTCACAGTTGAAGTGATGCAAAATTATAATTATCAATTTCCTAAAACTATTTCAGAATTTCAAGTATAGGAAGTGTTCTAAGACTGATTTGATAATTAATTTTGGATTAGATCTGGCTTTAAAAGTGATGGATCCTTTTTCTGGCTTTAAATTTATAACTTTTGATTCATGTATTTTTGTTAGTTGCCACAGCTCATTTTTAGTTTCTTTTTTATATCTTTTATATAATTTAAAATGAAACTTATCTGACAAAATACTTGGTAATCCACTTAATTTAGCGTACTAATTCAGATATTCGGCAATTAGTATTTATCAAACACAGTCATTTTCCTTTTTATATAAATGTAAGTTAATTTAATTTGGTAATAGTTAATATAAATTAGCTCTGTAAAAAAATAGTTTCTCAAGAAAAATGTAAATATAGTATTCTAAATAAATGGGACTATGCAGTTATCTCAATTTTATGCTATTCATATTTAATAAGGTAAGATCTGGCTTTATATTCACCTTCTATTTCTTCTTCATCATGACTTAATTCGCATAATGGGCAGATGTAGTTTCCGCATGATATCTTATCAGTAATCTCATAATAATCAAAATTTTTACTACTATATTCTATATTTAAATTAGGATATTGATCCAATATCTTTTGCAGAAATAGGTGTGATCATAAACTAGACTCTCAGGTTAAGAAATAGGTGATACTACCTTGATATCAATTTTTTTCAAGGCAGATTCATTAGGAACTTGAGATTCAGTAGGTACAACTGAACTAGTGATATATGATAAGTCAGAATTTTTTTTATTACTTTATGAATTCAGTTTATAAAGTTGTGACTCCATATGAATGCTATAATCAAAGAACATATTATCTATAATATATTGAATGTCTTCATATATCATTTTTGAGATAAAATCAGTGGAGAAGGAATGAATTCGATTTATTTTATCCATACCTATTGCATTAAAAAGTGTATAGAGCTTCTTAACCTACTCAATTCTTTTCTATAAAAGTGCATCAGAAGTAACTGCAGGAAGCTGAACTTTAACTTCTATATTTAGAATTCAACTGACCGTATTAGACTCCAGATCAACATGTTTTTCAGATGCGATCTCACCTCGCCTCTAGATAAGGGTCTTCCTAAATTAGCAGTAACAAAAGATAGCTTCTTGAGTCACATGATCAGCAAAGGTTACGGCATCACAAAGTTTTTTATATAAAGAAAAAGGGGTAGCATTCCCATTTCTATGATATTAGCGCTTGAATCTGATTCTCTTTGAAAAGATACTGAAGGTATCGAATCATCTAGGGTCATTTTAGTATCCATCTTCTCTGTCACTTCTTGAATGAATTTTTCCCTTTGTTTTTTCTGATTTTCCTTACAAAGCATCCTTTTGTCAACTGAAATCTACTTATTCTTTTTAGAGAAAATGGTTTCCACTTTTACAAGCTTCTCCTGCCTAATTTTATCACTAACTATTTTCTTATTCATCTCACCCAGAAAGAGTTTATGGCCTTTTCTCTGATGATTTCGAATTGACAGATACTATTTCATTTGCTACTATAGAGTCTGATATGTCAGCAGGTTTTTTAGGAGAAGAATTCTTTCATGAATGCCTAGAATCTTCCTTCAACTTTGCAACTCTAACCTTAAGCTCAGCATTCTCAGCATCATATCTGACATTTTTAATATCACGTCTAGTATTCTCAATGGCAGTATCTATTCTAGCTTTTTCTAATTTCTCAATTCTATTCTTGAGCTCAGCCCTTAGCTTTGTAATCTCATCCTTGACCTTAAATTCAGCATTCTCAATTATAAGTCTGACGTTTTTTTGCTTAAGTAAGTCAATCTCAGATGTCATTTTCGAAAATAATTTTATACACTATATATTTACATTCAAAATAAAAAATTCACATAATTCCACTTTGTGAACTTAGTTTACAAAGTTTTTATCTTGGCAAAAGAATAATTTATTTATAAGAAAAAAAAGGATTTACATCGATTTGAAATTTGCGGGTAGATAGGATATGCAAAAAAAATATAGCTAGGAATCCCCATTCTAAGGCTATGAACAAATTATCTATATTGATTTATATTTTAGTAAAGTACACGCACTAGAGCTAATATATGCTCTGATTCTAAAATGTCTGTCTTGGTAAATACATCATATAAAACACTTGGTCTATACTTTAAAGGAGTTAAATTCAGATGATGGAGAAATTTCATGAGTACGTTATTCCTTCAAGCTTTCATCTCTTTATGCCTTCAGCATAATTTTAATAGTTAGCATAAGGTAAGATTATGCCAATTAGCTTTGAGTAAAATCTGCAATAGGCTTATTTTTCGTTAACCACTGCTAGTAAACTTCTTTCTGATATAATATTTCAAATATGATAGGAAATGAAAGAAAGATATTGTCTTAATATTAGCGATTCATGTAAAGGCAGGATTAAAAGCCTTTCTTCTTTCTAATGCATATACCCTTCAAGTAGTAATTTACGATATACTGGCTCATTTATAACTATCATGCGATTACTTTTGAGATTATAGATTTTTTTATGAGCTTTACCCTCAGGCTCGCGCTCTGTCAGTTGATCTAATATATCATAGCATTAATATGAAAAGATAATTTATCTCAATATAATACCAATTAATTTAAATATATATTTTATTATAAAATTAAAAGTGAAAAAGGATTTTATATCCTAAAATACTTCTATGGCTCGCTTTATTTGTGCACATATCAAGAAGGATAATACTATTTGTGGAAATAAGTGTTGTGATCTCACAAGGTGTTATAGATACTGGAGATTATATGAAAAAAATATAGAAAAAAACCCTGCCTTATTAGTAGTTGTCGTAAATATACTGTTTCTATTATAAGATATTGTCTCAAACACTCAGCCAGATTTCATTCGTTAAATTATCAGATGAGGTAGAAGTACGAGACTGAGATCTTTTAATCCACAAAGACCTCTGAATTACCAAATGAACCTCTTCGATTAAGAATCCCTGAAGCTTCAATTTCTAAGTCAGATGATAGTAATGTTTCAATCTGGGTCGAAATACTAGGTGATAGGGTTGTAATTAAAGGCCCAGTTCCAAAGTCATCCAGAATCTATAAAGCTCCAGTTTCTGAGTTAGATGATGAGAACAATGAGAGTTTTGGCTTTTTTAGTGATTAGTAGTTAGCTCAAAATTTGGAGCATTAGGAATCCTCTCTGAATTATCTGCTGAAAAGTAAGCAAAAAATATTATTTGTCGATTATTATATAAAATTTTGATAGAAGCCTATGTCTTAAAGTATGTGACTGTGTATCCTGACTGGAGCGAAAATTTTTTTAATGATACCTACCTGAATAAGTGTAGTCTTTTTCGTAATCTTATATAAAAAATTGGAAGAAGACTATACTTTTCTAGATATATATTCAGGTATAGCATTAACACATATCAAATAAATTCTGAATATCTTCTAAAATTTGCGTATTATCAACTTTACTAGAACTAGAAAGATTACCTAATAATAATTCATCAGATGAGATCTTACTATATCCATATCAAGTATCTTTACCATTTTCCCAATAAATTTCTTCTCCTATTTGGTATAAAGAAAACTTGAGGGCATCCTTGCTATCGAATAAACTAACTAAATGATAATATCTTTGACTCTTATCAATAGCCTTAATTTTAATCTATAAGTGGTGTAAAGGGATGCATTTAATAAACCAAGTTTTGCTTAGATTGTTTTTAATCCCGTTTTTTAGCACTGCACGATGCATCTGTATTATCAAATATTTGAGCCATTTTAGATACTAAATTTTGGAGATATGATATTGATTCAAGAGAATCCATATGCGTTTTAACTTCATCAGCTTTATATCGTGCTCTATTATTGATATCTCTAGTTAGTATACAAATTCTTAATAATTCTAGGCAAATTCGATGCCTCTCAGTCCAGGTTGCAGTTGTGAGCCTATCTTTTTTATAATCTTTAACTTTAATAGCTATTTCATTATTAGTACCAGCATCTTGTAATTGCTTATAAGCCCTAAACTATTTTATGTAATTGTAATTCCTATACTTAGAGATGAAATTCTCAGTCAATGATTTAGGCGAAATCTCATAACATTTCACAATATGATGCTGGTCTAGTGATCACATGTCTTTTAAAGTTTTTCTTGACTTGTTTTCTAGAAATTCGGCAGTCTTATGATCGATAATTGTAGCATTAGATATATTTGATATTTCCTCTGCTTTAATGATAGAGGAATTCGCCTTCACAGTTTGAGATAATAATACAACATTTTCTTCAAACTTAGGAATGGGTTCTATGATAAAAATTATCATACCTGCTTCCCTAAATAAATTGACCATTCACCAACTAAATAAGCATTAGGAACGAAATCTTTTCAATATATAGGCTACCCACAATTGAACAGTTGGTACGTCTTTATTCTAAATAATAGAATCTACATCTGAAAATATTCCTCTATTCTGAAGTTCACAGGGTAGACATTCACGTTTAATACTTAACATCCATTGAAATAATCCTTTTTCTAAAATGAGAACGTTAGATGATCTTTGTTTGATATGACATACATAATTCTTAATGCATTACATGCAGAATAACATCTGATTAGTTCTAGTATTAGTTTCTATATAGCTATTAAAGAGACAGAATGCTCGTTCAAACCTAGGGCTAGTGCAAGATACTCTTATTTTTAAAGTGCTAGTATAGGCAACTAGATCTATATCCCTCTATGATTCTTTTACGTTACTGAAATCATTGGACCTTTTCTACTGAATCAGATTTATCATGATATTTCTTGATCTGTGATTCTGGAAAATCAGTCTTAAGAGCACGAATAATTTCTTGTATATCTTTTCTAAGATAGCAGATAAGTGAAGCACTTTTCTGATTCTCAAAAGATAGTGAAGTCATTTGCTTAGCCTAATCCCAAAGTTTAGCTAATAATATTTTTTTATTAGAGGCTAAGCGGAATATCTTACCTTTCTAAAGTTGGTAGGTATTATGAATAATAGAGAAAGATATATCCTTACGAAAGGTCTTAATCCATTCTATGTTAAGATTAGTAAAGTCATTATCTATGATGATAATTCATCTAGCCTCTTTGATTAATTTATATAATTTCTCTATTAATTGCCCTGCCAAATGACTTTATGTCTGAGCAATTATAGACACTATCTCATCAAGCTATAAGTCATATTGTATTGAAGGACATTTACATTTTTTTTCACATTTGCATTTGTTAATAATGTGATGTAAACTCTTTATCTGACATATTATCCTTTTATGATTAGAGAGATTTATATTTCCATCAATATCACAATATGACTTAAGATTAAGCCTTATAGTAATAGCATTCAAGTAAGAGTAATGCATAAATAGCACTAGTAAATTTATGTCATCAGAAATAACTAAATTTTTAAGAACATATGTTTTCTCGTTTTTCAAGGTGACTTCATATAAATATCGCATTTACTATATAAATATAATGGTTTTATATATCTCTCCTCATATGTTCTGTTGCTGTAAGGATGTTATTATACTTGGCCTAAAATGGGAATTTTATAAAGACTTTAGGAAAACTGGGGGTTTTTACCTTGTGAGATGGTTGCAAGAAATTTTTATTTTCTCGTCAAATTTTTTCTGCAATAGATGGGTCACATTCAAATACTTCCTCAGGTTCATCACTACCTTGCTGAAAGCATTTTATAATGAATTCATCACTACTAGCGTATATGGCCAAACCAATGCTAATCTTTGTTATGTATACGTTTGCAGAATAGACACCCTAGTAAAGCTTTTCGGTTAAAATATATGAAGTTTTCTGAGTTCTTTTCTTTGATAGTCTAATCTCTAAAATAATTAGAATACTTTTGCAAAATTAGATTTGTGAATTTCTGTAATAAATCCTAACCTACAAATATTCTTAGCAGATTATTATTTTTTTTGTACTAAGCATTCGAGGTCTTACTTCAAATCTTAAGCTAGTAGGTGGTTAAACCCTAGCATGATCAAGTTCATTCCAGCCATTATCTAGTGAAAACTGAAGAATACGCTTTATATAACCTTTTTTGCTAAACCAATTAAGCAAAGGTTAACACTAGTCGAAATAATCCAAATTGGCTAAAAATCAGATAGCCAATTTTAGACTGATTTTGATACTATTTACGGCTGATTTGCCATATTTTCTGATTGGTATAAACAGGTGCTGATAGATGTCGATCGATCCCAATTAGACATGGCTATTCAGAACTTAAATTCAACCATAAATCAGCCTAAAACTGGCCTTAATTTAGCAACAATTCAGACGCCGATTGATGCTGATCGACATAACTATTCAGCTTAAAATTGACCTCAATTCAGCATCATTCAGCATTAATTCAAAACTTAAATAACATAAATCAGCTTAAAATTGACCTCAATACAGCATCATTTGGCATCAATTCGAAACTTAAATAATCATAAATAACCCTAAAATTGGCCTCAATTTGGTATCAATTCAGTCAAATAAGTATATAAAATGATATATTATATTTATTAAATTTATTAAATATTATAATT